AGCGTATTTGGGAAGAGCTAGTTCTGGAAGATGTCTGGCAGGACAGTCTCGTGTGCTCACACACGGGCGTTTGCCTGTGCTCATGTGCACGCTCCCACACGCGTGCGCTCACTGCTGAAGGCAGAGCCGGGGAGGCAGTGACGGCCCTGGGGTCACCTGGCTGGGTTCTGGGGGCATGTGGACCACGACCCTAGGACGGTGCCTTCTCAGTTGGAGGACTGGCAGACACCTGCAGCTCCAGACCCCCAGCCCGTAGGGTGGCAGCGACTGCTCTGGCCACTTCTAGATGCTTCCATCCGCTCCTCCAGGGCAGCTAGCCCCGGGGTCAGTGAGGGGTGCTTGGAACCCCTTGGGAAGAAGCCCAGTGCGGCCTGGCCTCCCAGGGTCTGTGCAGTGCTGCCTGAGGAGGGGCCACCTTGCAGAGGGGGTTCTGGTAGCACGGTGTTTACAGCAGGGCTCGGCGTTGCTCAGCTACTGTGTAAACCAGGCTTCATCTGTGTCAGCCTAGTTGGGCGGGCGGCCCGCGTGCCAGGGAGCGGGCTGTCAGATCCGAGCCTCCTGGCCTTCTGTCTCGAGCCCAAGACGGTGCCCCTCCTACTGGCCAGGCCAGAGGTGGTCCTCAGAGCCCCCAGCAGCTGTGGGATCACCTGGGGGCTGCTTGGGCTGGGCCGGGGCCGGGGAAGGCCGAGGCACCCGTGTCCTCCAGGCGCCCCCTGGGTACAGGCTGTGGCTCCAGGTCTCCCGCCCTTTGGCTGCCGGGCCTCACGTTCCGTTCTTCCTCTTGTCAGGTTTGGCGAATCACGGACAGACCAGGCACATGGTAAGAGGGCGAGCTGGTGACAGGGCGGGGCCTAGTAGGACCCCTACCCCTGCACATGTGGGCACACGACGTTTGCTCGCACATCGCCCCCTTGGCAGTCTGGGAGGTGGCCCAGGTGGCCAGGCCCGCGTGCCTCCTGCCGGGTGTCGGGGGCAGCGTGCAGTCCCCGCGGTGTCCCCCTCACACCTCCCCCTGCCGCAGGGACCAAGCCGAAACCTCCTGCTCAACGGGAAGTCCTACCCCACCAAAGTGCGCCTGATCCGGGGGGGCTCCCTGCCCCCCGTCAAGCGGCGGAGGATGAACTGGATCGACGCCCCCGATGATGTGTTTTACATGGCCACCGAGGAAACCAGGTGGGGGCTCTCCCCGAGGCCGTGGGTGAGCAGGGGGGTGGCCGCCGCACCTTTGTCACTTGGGGGCGTCGCTTTGTCCACAGGAAGATCCGCAAGCTGCTATCGTCCTCGGAGACCAAGCGCGCTGCCCGCAGGCCCTACAAGCCCATCGCCCTGCGTCAGAGCCAGGCCCTGCCGCTGCGGCCGCCCCCGCCGGCCCCCGTCAACGATGAGCCCATCGTCATCGAGGACTAGGCGCCCCGCTGCCCCGCGAGGCCACCGCAACCACAGCCCGCCCCCCGCCCGCCGCCCGCCGCCACCCGGTTTTGGTAGTACCCCCTCTCGCCCCCACTGCAGAGAAACTGCTCCTTCGGGACACCTCGGGAAGAAGTACCGTTTAGCTGCTTCCCAGAATGCCGAGGACTCGTTTTTAGCTTTGTGTTTACTTTTTGGCCGGAGCGGAGCTGAGGAGCTGCCCTGCGCGCCTGCACCGCGCTGCGGGCCTCGCGGGCCGGCCGGAGGTTTTGTTGTGTTCTGTTGAAGGTGCCATTTTAAATTTTATTTTTATTACTTTTTTTGTAGATGAACTTAAGCTCTGTAACTTACATCTGGAATGTTAGGATCGGCACGGCCAGCGGCTGGCCGAGCTGCCTGGTGGGGTTGGCCCCTGGTCTTTTCAAGTAATTTTCATATTAAAAAAAACAAAGGAAAAAAAACTCATAAAAAGAAAAAACCAACTAGCCCTTCCCGTGTCTTCTGTCCCCCGTCCCTCCCCTTGCCTGGGGCTTCAGGCCATCCCGGGCCCGCCAGTGCGTCAGGCAGGGGCAAAGCCCCCCGTGAGCACCGGGGGACCCTCGGCTCTCCCGGCCTCCAGGCTGGGCTGGGGTTTCTGTCGTCCCTCTGCCTCTGTCCCTCACACCTGCCTCGTGCAGGGTCCGGCCCCAGGATGCCCTCTCTCCCACGAAGGTCGGGAGAGGGCCCGCCAGAGCTCAGGGCCCTCCCACAGTGGAGCTGAGACCCCTTGTGTCTGGCTGAGACGGGGGTGGGTGGCCCAGACGTGGCCTGGGACCCAGACTAGCAGGTGCGTGGCTCCTCTGGCTCAGCGTGGCTTCCCTCCCACCGGGGCAGCCAACACAGCTGGGTCAGGCCAGCCCACCACCCTGCTCCTGGCACAGCCCTGCCCCAGCTGTCCGAGGATTTCTGCCCAGAGCCGTAGGGCCAACCCCCAGCAGGTGTGGAGTTTCCAGAGTGAGGATTTGCTCAGATTTCAGCAAGTACGTTGTTCTCAGAAATTCTACCTCTGGCCATCCCTCTGCGCCCACCCTTGTGAGCCGGAGCTATCTGGCCAGTGGAGAGAGGTGTCTGGCGGGGACACCTCTCAGTCTGTGCCATCCCAGCCGGCCTGCAGAGGGGTGAGCTGGGCCCTCCCGGGGTGGGGCTCCCTCCTCCTGCCTCCCTGAGCTCTGCCTCCTGCCCCCCAGTGCTGCCGTGATGTGTTCACATCTCAGCCAGGGAATTAAAATGGAAACCACTTCTGCTTCCTCGCTGGAGACAGATAAGGGAGTCCTGGCCTCTCACCCCCAGCCCGTGATGGGGCCCTGTAAGGTGACAGGCCAGGGTGTTGAAAAAGCGGCCCCTCCCAGCCGATTGTAACCTGCTGGAGTCCTCGTGCCCCCACCCTGCCCCGAGACTGAGTTGTGGTGTCTCAGCAAGGAGCTTTTGCCTAGGAGCCTCTTCCCAGCCTTGGGCTCTGAAGACGGGGCAGGGATCTCTTCCCTCCTCAGACACAGGGGATTTCAGGTGCGAGAGTCATCCCCAGGAGGGGCCTGCCTGCAGACCCACAGGGGCTGCACCTCCAAACCCCCCGCGCCCGTCCTGCCCGGGGGTCCCTGCCACGGAGCCAAGATGGTCCTAGGTGCTATTTACCCACGTTGCCAGGACACCACGCCACTACGGCTCCAGGGGACAGACCTGCCCCCACACCTGGCTGGCTGGTTGGCCCCGCCATGGATGGGCTTCTCTGGAACCCTGCTGCCCCCAACCGTCCTGCTCACTGGGAGCCTGTCCTGCCCTGTCCCTGCTCCCGCCTGTAGCCCTCTGTGGTTTCAGAGGTGGACACTGCTACTCAGTGTCCGTTGATCCAGAAGAGCCCTGTCACATGAGGGATCTGTCCCCCCACTCTGCCCAGGGGTGCCTGGCCCATGCCAAGGCCTTTACTTTGCTATGCCCCATCACGGTGCCCGCAGGGCTGGGCCCCAGGCTCTTCCCACACATAACCTCCTTACAGAAGATGCCTGATGCCTAGCCTCAGCAAGGAGTGGGCTGCAAATGCCTGGCCTGTCGGGGAGCCCCATGGCTGGCCACCCTGCCCAGGAAGAGAGGACTGCTGAGGCCTCCCCGCCCCCATCTCCTGCCTTGCCTGGCAAGGGACCAGAGTCAGGCTGCTCACAGGAAGGGGGGCTGGTCAGGCTGGTCAGATCAGGCTGGAGTGGGGGGGACCACATGTTTCTGGGCTGTTGTCCTCGCAGGAACAGCAGTGGCTATAGGGTGTGAGTGCAGGGGGTTGGGGGGCCCCAGGGAGCTGGGCCAAGGCGGGGCTGCGGTGAAAGTCTGGGTTCTGGAGATGGTGGGACCGAGACTCTCACTCCTCCAGTGTGCAAATATACCTGACCCCAGGAGCCTGGCTGGTACATGGGGCAGAGGAAAGGGGGGTGGGGGAAGGGGTGCTCAGAGGGAGCTGCCCAGACTGGGTGGGGTCATTTGGGCTTGGGGTTTCTGTCCACTTGCTGGACTTGAGGCTCAGCTGGGCTGGAGGCCCAGGGAAGAGCTTATTGGGAGGCAGAGCCTCAGGGAGGAGAAGTGGTCCCCCTGGATCCCCCACTGCAGGGCGGGTAGGACCAGGTTCTTCAGGCCCCGGCATGGAGGCAGGAAGGGGTGGGAGGGGTCAGGAACGCCCCTGTTGGGAGAAGGACTGTGGAGCCCGGGAAGGGGGACCCTGAGTGCTGGCAGATGCCTAGCACTGCTGCTTTGGGGCCTGGAGGCTGGAGGTCAGAGGCCCTGGGCCCCGAGCTAGTGGGTCCAGAGGAGGGGTGCCCGCGGTGGGAGTCAGGAGTCGTGGGGAGGGGGGAGCAGGCAGATGGCAGTACCAGCCCACTGGGGCACAGCGCCTGCACAGCGAGAACGCCCGGGCTCTAACCCCTTGCCTACCGCCCCTGGGTGGAGAGCTTGGGGACAGTGCCTTCCGCGCCTGCGGCACGCCCAGGTCCCCTCACAGCCTGGCGCCCTCCCCCTCTCCCGCTTCCAGCAGTTTCTCTCGCGCTGTTTTTGGAAGTGATGGGCGCCCTGCCCTCCACCCACTTAGCCGTCAGCACCATCGACGGTGTCAGGCGGGGGCGGGCGGCGGGGCAGGACCGGGACCGGGCCAGGTGGCCGCGCCCGCCCAGAATCCGGCTCCGATCCCACCCCGCGGCCGTTGCCATAGAAACCGAGCAACAAAGGGACGCGGGGCGGGGTGGGGGGGCGCGCGGCGGGGTAGGTGGGGTCCTCCAGGGGTGGGGACCGGGCGCCGAAGCCCGGCGTCCGTCTGCGTGTCCAGGGGCCGGCCTTCCGGACCGAGGCCCTTACAGCCAGGAATGCCCCGGAACCGTGGGGGCTGCAGACCCCCTCCCGCCCCGCCCGGGCTCCGACGTTGCCATGGACACGGGCGAGGCACCGGCGTCGGGGCGCCGGGCAGGTCGGGCCACCCTCGCGGCCGCGGCAGGTGCGCCCCCGCCCCCGCGGCGCCCCCAGCCGGACCCGGGGAGCGGGCTCCCGAGGCCCCGCCCCGGCCGCGGAGCCAATGGGTGCGCGGGCAGCCGGCGGGCGGGGCGGGGCGGCGGCGCGGTGGCGGCGGCGCGGAGACGGGCGCGGGCTGAGGGCGCGGGCCGACGGGCGCACCGACCATGGCCTCCAAGTGTCCCAAGTGCGACAAGACCGTGTACTTCGGTGAGTGCTGGGCCGGACCAGCGTCCACCGCCCTCCGCCGTCAGCCCCCGGCCGCAGAGCCTCGCGCCCCGCCCCGGGATGCGCAGTCTCGGGATGCGCGGCCCCGAGCCCGGCCCGCCGCGCTGCCCACGCGGGTGCGGCCGGAGGGTGGAGCTGTACGAGGTGGGGGCAGCCACGCCCGAACCCCGCAGCGGTCGCTGGGGCCGGGCGGGGGTGCGCGGTCCTCGGGATGAGGCCGGGGTGGGGGTCAGGTTGGGGGTTCGCCGGCGCGGAGCGGGGAGGTGTCGGGCGGGGCGCACTCACGCTGTGGGAGCCTCCCGTGCGCTCCTGCTTTTCACGGCCCTTCTCCGCGGACACGTGGCCGGGACAGCGTGGCCGGGAGCAGTGACCCCTCCCCGCAACCTCCAACTCGATCTCTGCCCACACCGGGCCAGGCCAGATATGGGCTCTGTCTGGACTCAGTCCATGCGGGGGCGACCTTGGCCTCTTAACTCCTGCGTGTCCCAACGTGCTCCCTTGCTTGGCGCGAGTTTCCTCCAGGACTTTCTTGTGGGTGGGGTGGGATGACAAGCGGGGCCCCACAAGCGTGAAAGGGCACTGGAGCCCAGGTGGCCGAGCACCCCTGCCTCCTCAAGGTCACAGCAGCCCGGGACTGGAGGGGGCAGCAGGTCTCTGCCGATATGCCCCCTGGGTATGCGGCACCCCCTGGCGCTCACCCACTCCCTGGCGCTCGCTCCGGGTTGTCTGGCTTATTCAGCCACTCTCTCTTCTCTTGGCTGATCCTCTCCCGACTTTGCCCCCTGATCCTCCCACTAACACCCTCAATAGAGGGACACACAGTGTCAGAAGGGTGGGGGCAGACAGGGGACCCTTCCCTGGTCACTGTGGGAGCAGTGGTCAGTGTCTGGTATGGGGAAAGGCCAAGGTGAAGGAAGCCACTTGGCTTCCCTGCTCACGGGAGGGAGAAGGAGGTGGACGGTTGTTTGCTGTTCCCAGAGGGGAGGGACCGGATTTGGCCTGGAGTGCTTCTGGCCTGGCTGGGAGCCTAGGGGCTTCCGGCTGCCTCCCCAGGAGCTGGCCCAGTCCTTGGTCCCCATCCCAGAGGGGGCTCATCCCTGCAAGGCTCAGGGGAGGGGACAGCGCTAGGGTCCTCCTGCCAGCGCCACTGCCCACAAGTCTGCCCCCAGCCAGGCCAGCTCAGGGCTCTCTACGGCTGGGGCTGGCAGTCTTGTGGACAGCCTGGAAAGCGCTTCTGCCCGCTTGGGCGGTAGCTGGCTCCCAGCAGAAAACAAAGGCAGCTCAGACTCGGCAGGCTTCTCTGTCCTGGGCAGAAGGCGCTAGCGGAGGGCGGGGCGGGGGGGGGGGGGGGGGGGGGGGGGGTGGCGGGGAGCCTTTCGGCTGGGATCCTGCCCATCCCCCAGTCAGGCACCTCTTCCCCTCCGCCCCCCAACAGCAGCCAACACCCTTCAGCAGAGTGGAACCTGGGCCAGGACACCCCAGAGTGACCTCAGAATGCCTTGCCTTTGTGTCCTTAACAATGGTGCAGCCCAGTGGGGAACCAGCTCCCTTCTAAGCCGATAGACCCAATCAATTCTTTCTTCCCAATTGGGCTGGTAATGTGCGGCCATCTACCCACCCAGTGGGTCTCAGGGTCCTTCCCGTGCCCCCGCGTGGCCGAATGCTAGAGCTAGCCAGGGCAGCATGGCTCTGGCCACCCTGAGCTGCAGCTGCCACAGCCACTGCTGGCCAGCAGGAGCCCTGGGAGAGGGTGTGGGGCTGCCAGGGGACCCAAGCCCGCCTTGGACATGGGAGGGGTGGCTGACCAGCCTGTCCCAGCATCCTTGGGTAGAGTGGCCATGGGGATCTAAGCCTGTGCTGCCTTTGGGAAGGGAGTGGGGGGCTGGGTCCTGGAGGCTGGCCCTGGCCTGGCTGGGCCCAGCAGGTTCTGCCAGGGCTGTGGGGAGCCAGCACCCAGGGCGCCAAGCCTGGGCCACCAGCAGCAGCACCCATGGGCCTCTGGGGGCGGGGAGTGAGCTGGCCAGACCCTCCTGCCCACTCTGCCGGGGCCCTCGGGGAAGCCTGGCTTGGAAACTCTCTGTGAGGGGACCAGAAGATATCTGCTGGTCCTTGGCCTCCTCTTGGGGCTCTGCCAGGGTGGCGGGGGCCCAGCCCGCCTGACCTCCTCCTCCCTGACGCTTCTGCTCAGACCCCTTCCCTTCGGAATTCCGGCTTGGCTCCAGCCTTTCTTCCTGCCCTCTCCTCCACCACCCTTTTCCTGCTGTGCTCTCCTGGGGAGGCCCCCCACACTTCCGTCCTTTAGGAGGTGGCCCAGTGGGCCGGCGGGGGGGTGGCGGGGAGGCTGGGGGGGTGATGACTGGGCCCCTAGCAGCTGGAGGCAGTGGGGTGGGCGTTCTCAGGGCTTATCCCGAGGAAACCGAATATAGGCAGGTAGGCATTCTATCCCATGGGGTGGGAGGGGACGGCACTAGTCCCCCTACAGAGGGCCCCCCATTCCCCTCAGCGGTGGGCTCTGCCAACTCCTTTACGGCCCAATTAGGAGGGTTCAGGAATCTGCGAGGGAGGGCTAGGTGTGTTGAGTGGGAAGCAGGTGTTTGAGGTGTGACGTGGAGAGGACTAACAGGTGCTCCAGCAGTGATCCTTGGGGTGGGAGGGTGACCTAGACCCAGCAGGAGAGCAGGGACCCTGAGGGGCAGAGGGCGTGCAGTGGGCGCTGGGGGTTCCTGTGTGGGGTGGAAGGAGGGGTGAGGCGGCTGCCATGGGAGGGCTCTGGGCCCTGGCCCTGACTTCCCCTCCTGCCCCCAGCTGAGAAGGTGAGCTCTCTGGGCAAGGACTGGCACAAGTTCTGTCTCAAGTGTGAGCGCTGCAACAAGACGCTGACCCCCGGGGGCCATGCCGAGGTGAGCCCCCTCCCCTGGGGCTGGGGGCGGGGAGCAGGGCTGTGGGCAGTGGGCCAGCCCTCACTCGGTGCTCCTCTGCCCAGCACGACGGGAAGCCGTTCTGCCACAAGCCATGCTATGCCACGCTCTTCGGGCCCAAAGGTGAGCTTGGTCCCCCTCCTCAGCCTGAGAACTGGCACCAGGAGGGCACCAGGAGGGGCGGCCAGCGTGCATCCTGGACCCACACAGCCCCCTGGCCCCTTCTCCCCCTGCCCGCTCTCGACCCTCCCCGACAATCCTTCCACCCTTGAAATTCTAGCATCCTCCATGCCCTTCTCAGAAATCTACCCGGCCGGCCGGCACCCTCGGGGTGGGGGTCCTGACCCTATAGAGTGGGCTGTGGAGGGCCCTTTTCTGAGAAGGTGGATGGGGTGTGGGGGCTGGGGGTGGGCGCGGCCGCTGGCCACCCCTCCCCCCCACCACAGCGTTTAGCTCCTCACAGGTGTGAACATCGGAGGCGCGGGCTCCTACATCTATGAGAAGCCCTCCGCCGAAGGACCTCAGGTCACTGGCCCCATCGAGGTGCCTGTGGTCCGGGCTGAGGAGCGCAAGGCCAGCGGTCCTCCCAAGGGGCCCAGCAAAGGTGGGCTGGGCTCGGTGTGGGGGAGGAGGGGCGTCCTTGCGGCCGCGCCCTGACTCGGGCTGCCACTCGCGGTGTTTCCCCCAGCCTCCAGCGTCACCACGTTCACGGGGGAACCCAACATGTGTCCTCGCTGCAACAAGAGGGTCTACTTTGGTGAGTGACTCCGCCCCGCAGCAGCCCCTGGGGGGTCTGCCCGGGAGGGTCCCCACCTTCACCGTCTCTCCCCCTTCCCAGCCGAGAAGGTGACCTCCCTGGGCAAGGACTGGCACCGCCCGTGCCTGCGCTGTGAGCGCTGTGGGAAGACACTCACTCCAGGCGGGCACGCGGAGGTGAGGGGCGGGAGCGCCCGCGCCCAGGAGGGGCTGGTGGGGGCAGGGCTGCGCGCGCGCGCGTGCGACCCGCGGGTGGGTGCTGCCCCCTGGTGGCCAGAGTGGGGGCCCGCGGGTGCACAGATGCTCCGAGGCCCCTCCCTCTCCACCGGGTGAGTGGGGCGGGGGGGGGGGAGGCCTGGGGGGGCTGGGGGGGAGGACTGGAGTCCCCGCTCAGTCCCCGTTCTGCCCCCAGCACGATGGCCAGCCCTACTGCCACAAGCCCTGCTATGGAATACTCTTCGGACCCAAGGGTGAGTGTGGCTGGGAGGGCGGGCGTTCGGGCGCCCTGCCCCACGGCGCCCCACCACCTTGCGCCTTTGTCTGCAGGGGTGAACACTGGAGCTGTTGGCAGCTACATCTACGACAGAGACCCAGAGGGCAAAATGCAGCCCTAGGCCTGCAGCAGCCCCCGCTCCCAGGGGCATGGGCCCATCCGCCCCCTGCCGGCCCCTGCTCCGGAGCCCACTGCCTGGCCCCGTGAGGGACAGCAGCTAGCTGTCCCGTCGTCCTCCCCGGCTCGTCCTGCCTTGCAAGCCCAGGGCCTGCGTGTTGTGGGGGAGGAGACCCCGCTGGGCTGTCTCTAGACCAGGCCTGCCCATCCCCGTTTCTCCGACTGTGTCTGCCTTTTCCCCCCCTCCCCCGCCCCTGATCCTCTTTTGTGTCTTCATGGCTCTGTGTCCGCATGGACCCATGTGTCCCTGTGTGTCCCTTGTGTGTGTGTCTCCGTGGCCCTGGGTGGGTCTCTCTGAGGTGGCCATCCCACTCTCCCCTCCTGCTGCCCCAGGCCTGCCCCACAGTGTTCTTTCTGCTCCCCTTGCCGGTGAGGGCCACAGCCATGCTCTTCACGGTGTTGCTTGGGCCGGCCGAGGGCGTCCCTGCCAGGAGCCCGCCGCCCGCGTCCCACACCCACACTGCCTTGCAAGCGCTTGTCTGACACCCTCACGTGGCTCACACTAACCTGCTGAGACTGTCAATAAAAGGTTCGAGGACTGGGGGGCCGAGCGCTGTGTCTCTGGTTGTGGGATGGATGTGAATCCAGGACAGCATCTCTTGGGCCATCCCCAGATGCTCCCGACACCTGGTGGGGGTGGGGTCCTGTTCCCAAGGTGGGTAGGGGTGGGTGGGAGGCAGGGAAACTCTGGTTTGGGCTGTGGCACCAACACTAAGTTGGAACAGGCAGCTGAGATGGGGACCAGGCCATGTAGAGGTGGGAGCATGGCAAGGGCTCTGGGCTTGGGGTCCTGGTCCCCAGAACTGCCAGGAGACGCCTGGATCCATCAGACACCCACGGCAAGGGAGGGGTCAGCCTCGGGAAAGAGCCCAGGGCCTGGCACGTGGGGGACAGGGCAGGGGGCCAGAGGAGGGGTCCTCTTCGGGAGAGCAGGGAGCTGGGCAGGGTTAGGCAGGGGCAAGGTGGGCCTTCAGGCCAGAACTGAGCCCGGAAGTGCAGTGGCTTGGATGGGGGAGGGGAGTGTGGTCAGATGAGACGGTCTCCTTGCTTCAGCGCTAGTGGGGGCCAAGGGACAGAATGCGGGCCGTCTGAGGGCCAGGACCTGAGGCTCGAGTCCCCCTGTTCAGGTGCTCCCGCCTAACCAGTGTCCCTGTGTCTGGGTCTGCAGTGATAATGGAGTCACCCCCAGCCTCCCCAGGCAGTCCCGGCTCTGCCCTTTGAACCAGGACCCCTTGGCTACTGCCAGGAGCCCCTCCTCACGGTCTGTTCCCTTTATCCGCCGTTCCTGGACAGCCCACCAGAGGGCGTAGCTTCTCTTTCTTGGCGCTGGGGCAGAAACCAGGTGGACCCACCCTGGCCCTTCCGGGCTCATGTACCCTGCTCCCCAGGACCAGCTCCCTGTGCCCCAGCCCCTGGCACTGGCCCCTCCCTGGCCCACCCCCCAGTCCACTGGCTCAGACCTAGCTGAGCTGGATGCGGTGGCCATTGTCCTGCGAACAGCCATCCGTGTCCCTGGGGGTGGATCGGCTGGCTCCAGTGTCCAGCAAACGCCAGGTCGCCTTCCTCCTAGGCAGTCCAATCCAGGTGCCCACTGTGGGCAGCAGTGTGTCCTCCCAGCTGGCCAGCCTGGGAATGCAGCCAGACTGTGCTGGGCAAGTGGCCTGCCGTGGGGGGGTGGGGTACGACACTGGAGCAGGTACCCCAGGGGCAGCCAGCGTCCACCCCAGGCAGGTACGGGCACTTGGTGCAAGCTCAGCAGAAAGCCGCCACCTACGGCCAGGCCTGACTCCCTGGTCGGGGTGGGGGGGACATTTGGGGGAGATTCCAGACTTCCTGAGCACAGGCTGCCCACCCTAGCTGTGGTGTTGGACGGGAAATTCCTGCCCCCTGCTGCGTGGGGAGCTGCTAAGGGCACAGCTCGGGCCCTCCCTCGGGAGCTTCCAGTGGAAACTATGTGGGGAGGAGACGTGGTAGGCAGCGCGCCCTTTCCCCAAACCCGGGGCGGCCGCGGCCTCTTGTGGGTGAAAGCCCGCTTGGCAGCGCGGGGGTGAGGGGCAGGGATCGCCTCAGGGAAGACGAACCCCGGCCCCGCCCGAGACACAGTGCGCCCCAGCCTCCGGCGCTGGCGGGGGAAGGCGCGTCCCATTTCCTGCGGGCCGAGAATGACGCGCCGCCTTGTTTGTGTCCCAGCGGTTGTCATGGAAACCGGGGCGGTGCCGCTCCCCTGGGTCGGGCGCGCATCGCTAGGCGTGTCGGTGGGACAGCCCGTGCCCCTGCGCTGCCGGGACCACCTCGGTGGCACCAGCTCCAGGACGCCCCGACAAGGCAGGTGCCTCCTCCGACGCCCGCAGCCCCCGACGCTCCGGCAAGATGCAGGGGTCGCAGGAATGGGCCTGTGTGCTCTGGCGCGCGCCTCGGCCGCTGCCCCTTGCCCGGCCTCCACCTCCACCCCTCCATTCCATGCCAGCCAGTGAGGCGGCCCTGAAATGCCATCTAACAGCCTCCTTCCCCGTCCAGAAGCCCAGGGCTGCGCATGGCACCCAGGCCTGCTTCACGGACCTGCTCCCCAACTGAACCCCACCTCCCACCAGTCCAGGCTTCTAGAGCTTGGGAAAGCCCTGCGCCTCCAAGGTGGTGTGCCTTCCACCTCTGACCTGGGACAGGGTGGCCCTGGCTGGTGTCCCCAGTTGCTGTGGGGCCTGCTCTGCCTGCACCTCCCTCTGCCCCCACTTCCCTGAGGTCCAGATCCCAGATTCCCGGGTCCTGGATCCCTAGCCCGGCTCCCTCCAGGCCCTGCCCAGGTTCCCCTGGGTCAGTGACACCCAGCATCAGCCCTCGGCAGCCCTTCCCCAGCTGGAGGCTCCCTGAGGACCCCACCCAGTTCAGGCTAGCCCCCCTGAATTTCTTTGGGACTTTTGGAGGGGGGCAGGACTGCTTCCTGTCCCTGGTTCTAAGCACCAGCTCACTGGCCACCAGCTGTGGCCCCCCGGGGGCTGAGTGTCAAGGAATCGGTGGACTGCTGGGGGCTGGGCCAGGTGAAGACTGGCAGGGGCCTGGGACAACCAGGTGTAGGCAGTACATTTTCCCAGGGCTTGGCTGGCTTCCCAGAGTCGGGGGAGGGGGCTCGGGGCCCATGAAAAGGCTCAGCTGCTGGACCGGTGAGGCTAGAATCTGCATGGGCTTTGGCTCCAGGACATGGATTCTTGGAACAGGGCTCAGCCTTCAGGGAGAGGAGGGGTCACCCGATCCGGCCAGACTGTGGATCCCAGGCCGGGCTGCCGGAGGGAGCGCAAGTTTCTGTCTGCACGCCGCTCCTGCTTCCAAGAGGGCACTGCCCTCTCACCTGTCCTGGGTGAGGCCTGGGTGGGCAGGAGCAGAGTCCCTCTGGGGAAATGCAGCATCTGAGGGGGCAAGGAGGGGCCGTCCAGGGCTCAGCAGACCCACTCTGGGGCAGAACCTCAGAGGAGACAGGGGGTCCCGGGGGACAAGCAGCTGAAAATAGGCCCTGGGAATGTCTGAGTGTCCATGACTCAGCTGAGCCTGGGGGAGGGGCAGGGGGTGGACACTGAAGAGAGAGCCCAGCAGTTGCCCCAGGGCATTTGGCCATTCAGCCTTAGGAGGGAACAACCTTACACCTGTCCACATCCCTGCTTGTCCACATTGAGGAAGGGGCCTGGTGACCAGGGCACTGGGTGGGGGCTTGGAGGATGGTGGAGGAGGCCAGAGCAAGTATCACAGAGGGCAGAGGGAGGGAGTGCAGGAGGGGCTGGCCAGCTCCAGCAGCACAATTTTACCAGTGGGGGTGGGTGGCCGGCCCCACGGGTGGATTCCTCCATGGTCACTGGGGTCCGGCCCTGCCTTCACTGGTTCTCAGGTGCCCGGATCCCAAGCACTGCTGGGGAGCTGCCTCTGGGCCCTGTCTGCAATTGTCCTGCAGGGCAGGTCCCTCCGGGTTGCCATCTGGGTCCCCAGCCAGGCCTGGGTGGTGCATGGACAGGCAAGGCCATGGGGGTGTGCAGAGGGAAGGGTGAGCAGACAGAGGGGGCCTCGGTTGGTGTACCCAGAACCCCACCACTGCCTCCCCCAGGTCTCAGGGTCCTGGGGTGCCCTCATGCTGTTCTGGTGCCAGGCGGGGCCTTCTGGGCACAGAGGCAGCCTGGGGCAAGCAGCTGAGTTGCTCTGTCCTGGCCACTTTGTCCCTCAGGCTCCAGACACAGCCCCTGTGCCTGCGGGCCACAGTGGGGAGGGGGGAGGGAGGAGGGTACCTTAGGAGGCTCACTGTGTCCTCCATTTGTTCAGGTAACAAAGGCCAACCGCACCCCCAGAAGAGTGGGCTGAGGGGTGGAAGTCTGGGCAGGGTAGATTTAGGTCTTGAACTGGCCTGGGGGTTCTCGGTCAGGTTGACCGCCTGGGCCAGGTCAGTCCTCCCCCACAGGTGCATCTGGACCCAGGTGAGCTGATGGGAGTAGGAGGCCTTGCACGTGGTGGGGCCCAGGTCTCCAGGTAGGCTGTCAGGGCCCCGACTGGTACCCAGCCAAGCCTGAGATGGGGGTGTGCCTGGACATAGAGTCTGGGGGCTGATGGGGGCTGCCACTGCTGAGGGGTTCCCATCCTCACAGGCAGGCAAGATGGCTGGGGAGCTCAGGGGGATTGGAGGAGCATGCCAGTCTGTGGCTGACGATTTGGGAGGGTTCCAGCGAGTGTGAGTGTGTGTGTGCGTGAGAGTGTGTCTGAGTGTCTGGAACAACTGTGCTGTGTACCAACGAGAGGGCCAGTCACATGGCCCTTGGCCCCCTTTGGCATCCGCCCCTCACTCTGCAGCCCTGTGACCATGGCAACGGGAAATAACAACAAAGAAAGCTGGCAAGAACCTCATCACCCCAGTTTTCAAAGAGGGGGGCTCCCCTATGGTGGGCGGGGTTGTGGTCACAGTGAGGGGGGGCATCCCTGGGACGGGGGTGGGTGGAGAAGCAGACAGGGCTGGCTCGCGGCCCCACCTGCCTGGAGCCTGCAGGTGGGCTGGGGGTGTGGGCT